CTGCTTTAGAAATACATTGGTAAAAAAAAAAAAAAAGAAATACATTGGTCAGGATAGCATCTCTCATATTTCACCTGCATCAGTCACAAGTCAGGATCTATTTTGGCACCAGCCACTTTAGTCCTGTGGAACAATAAGACAGCGGCTGTTTTTGTTGTTTTTCAATCTGTTATGGGAGAATATCAAGAATATCATCCAGGAAGAATGCAAAAGGTCATTACAAAAACAGAGAAAGAAGAAAATACCAAGATGGATGTCAAAAGAAGCTCTAAATATTACACTGGAATGCCAAGAAGCCAAAGCAAAAGGAAAAAATCAAGAGCTTAAGGAATTGAACAGATTTCAGAAGGCAGAGAGGGAAGACAAAGTATGACAATGAAATGTGCAAAGAGCTAGAGTCAGAAGATCAAAAGGGCCAAACTTGCTCAGCGTTTCTTAAGATGAAGGAACTGAAAAAAAAAAAAAAAACCAAATTCAAACCTCAAGTTGCAATACTTAAGGATGCTTTGGGCAGAATATTAAATGATGAAGCATTAAAAGAAGATTGAAAAAGTATACAGAGTCATTGTACCAAAAGGAATTGGTGGACAGAGAAGAATTTCATGAAACAACGTATGAGCAAAAGTCTGTGGTGACGAAGGAGGAAGTTCAAGCTGCTCTGAAAGAACTGGCAAAAAATAAGGCCCTTGGAATTGATGGCATACCGATTGAAATATTTCCACAAACAGATGCTGCCCTGGATGTGCTCATCAAGTTGTACCAAGAAATCTGGAGGACAACCACCTGGCATACTGACTGGAAGAGATCTATATTTGTTCCCATTCCAAAGAAAGGTGATCTGACAGAGTGTGGAAATTATCGAACAATATCATTGATATCACATGCAAGCAAGATTCTGCTGAAGATTATCCAAAAACAACTGGAACAACACATCAGCAGAGAACTGCCTGAAGTGCAGGCTGGATTTAGAAGAGGCCATGATACTAGGGATATTATAGCTAATGTCAGATGGATCTTGGCTAAAAGCAGAGGATATTAGAGGAATGTTTGTGTTTCATTGACTGTGCAAAGGCATTTGACTGTGTGGATCACAACAAACTGTGGCTGACTCTGAGAAGAATGCAAATCCCAGAACACTTGATTGTGCTAATGTGAAACCTATACTTGGACCAGGAGACAGTCATCAGAACAGAGCAAGGAAACACTACATGGTTCAAAATTGGGAAGGGTGTGCGTCAAGATTGTCCTATCTCAATATCTTTTCAGTCTATATGTGGAACAGATTATCTGAGAGGCTAAGCTCTATGAGGAGAAGTGTGGCATCAGGATTAGAGGTAGACTCATCTGCATTATTCAGATGACACAACCCTGCTTGCTGAAAATGAGGAGGACCTGAAGTGCTTGCTGCAGAAGGTCAAGGACTGCAGCCTTCAATATGGATTGAAGCTCAACATCAAGAAAGCAAAGATTCTTAACACTGGGCAGCATCATGATAGATGAAGAGACTGAGATTGTTGACAGCTTCAGTTTGCTTGTCCCTACAATCAACACTCTGGTACCAGCAGCAAGAAAATTAAAAGATGAATTGCACTGGGAAAGTCTACTGTCAGAGACCTCTCCAAAGTACTGAGGAGCAACGATGTCAGTGTGGAGACTAAGGTGAGCCTGTTACAGGCCATGGCCTTTGCCATTACTTGCTTTGTATCATTACAATGACTAGGGATGATAGAAGGAGAGTTGATACCTTTGAGCTGTAGTGCTGGAGAAGAATATTGAATATACCATGGACTGCTAGGAGAACAAACAAGTTCATCCTAAAGAGGATAAAGCCAAGCTGCTCCTTGGAGGCAAGAATTCTGAAGCTTTGTCTGACATACTTTGGACATGTTGCAAGGTGGGACCAGTCCTTGGAGAGGGACGTCGCGCTTGGGAGGGAGGAGGGACAGCGCAGGAGAGGAGGACCCTCGAGGAGATGGAGGAGATGAATTGACTCGGTGACTGGGGTAATGGAGGTAAGTGTGTCAGAGACAGTGCGATTGGCACAGGGCAGAGCAGGGTTTAGGGCTGTTGTACATGGGGTCGCTATGAGTCACAAGCGACTCGACGGCACATGACAACAACATATCCAATCTGAGTTATAATGTTGTTTATTCTCATTTCTTCACGAAATTCTGTTCTGGAGCAAGAATTTTCTTTACTGTGTTATCACCGGGAATAGAAGATGGTGACTGCCAAGTCATTTCACTATTCTTGCTCATAAACTGCTCTTCCAGGTAAATATCTAGATACCCTAATATCACAGCCTCGTTCAGAACACGAGTACCTGTGCCCTTGGGAAATGTGTCCAAGCAGAGATTAAAGAAGACAGAAACACTGCTTTGTTTTTTTATAAACTCAGTTAACGCTTCTTCGTATTTTAATGGATCCACTCCACTGGAGACAGGGAGGAGTCACAGAGAGAGGTCCGGTGTTCACTTAGAACTATGTGCCACTGCCACTTTGGGTCCAGGTTGTTGGAAGTGATGACAGCTGAACAGCCCTTGGGGACAGTGGGGTGCTGGTTCACAGCGTCACTGAGAAGGAGAGCAGAGCACAGTCATGCGTCTGAGAGACTCATCTGAATTTCACCCAGGGCCACGTCCAGTGAGAGTGCTCCTTCTTCCCCTCACGTAGCAAGGACTGCCTGAGCATCTGTGATGGCCTCCTGCTAGCCCCTAGAAAGCCCCAGGTGGGCGACATAGTTTCTGTCTTCTGGAACGCACTGTCCTGACAGGGGAGGCACGTACAAGTTTAAGATAACCTCACACACTCGTGTTCTGGGAACACTGAGGACCTGAGGGAGGACAGCCGGGTCCGCAGCCGTCTGCCGAGAGAGGTGGTCTTTCAGATTAGGGCTTGAGCCCTGGCTTTGCTACCTGCTGGTGGTGTGATCTTGAATAAGTTCCAGAACCTTCTTCCAATTCCATTCTGTCATCTGAACAGTGCAGACAACATTGTTACCTGCCTTGTAGGAAACTTGAGGGTTAAATGAAATAATGTCCCTGGGACATCTAGCATCATCATCATTGCCGTCATCTGTGAGGCCTTGTTCACAGTCACATACAGCCATTGGTCGAAATCCTTTCACTTGAGTTGAGACGTATATGTCTCTTAGATAGGAGGAACCTTGGTAAGAGTTCTGGTTTGTACATTTGGGGCCAGAACAAAAAAGAAACCAACTAACTAGACCAGTTTATCTGGAAGTCATAAGGAGCTGTAGAACCTGGCTGAAAGCTTGTGTGCATTTTTCTTGAGCATCCATAGACTATTGTGACTTTCAAAATTAACTGATTACTGAGCAATTTCATTCTGGCTCTGTTTTAATTTCTAATATGCTACCTATATAACTCATATAGACAAACTTCTTTGGGGTTTGCAATAGTTTTCAACAGGGCCAAGGGCTTTTGAGACCAAGCTTGAGCAGTTTGAGTGCCTTGGTATAGAGAGCAGGAGCGTGGATCTTCCCAGAAGGCCGTTACCCAGGTGACTCCTGGGCTACAAGGAAATGGGAGAGCTAAGCCGGCTGGCGAGGGAGACAATGCCTCCAGGCCGCCTCTGACCAAATGTTGGTGACATCTGCTTCCCGTCCTTCCAGGCCAGTGGTTCTGAGCTGAGCCATGTACTGGAATCACCTGGGGGGATTTAACAAATAGGCGGTTGGCCCTGCTCCTCGAGCCGCTGGCTGATGGCGTTGACCTGGGCTGTAACTGGGACACCTTGATTTCCAAAATCCCCAGGCGATTATAATGTGAATCCAAGGTTAAGAATCACTCTTGAAGGTAGTCGAAGAGCCAGAGAGGCTGGGTATTGACAGAACACTGCAGTGATTCTGGATCGTTGGCTCAGTGAACAGACAGTTGCGGCTAAAACTCTGGGGAGAAAGAGATGAAGTCCTCCTTACCAATGTTAGAAGTTGAAAAATTCACAGCAGTTTAATAATTTGTGTGCAAGTAAAAAGAGTAGTGAGACACGCTCTGTCTGAACAAGGTTAATTTTTAGCCGAGCCTCAGTTTCCTCACCTCCCACTGCTGGCTGTTCACACCTGTTGGCTGAGCCTCGAGTTCCTTGTCCTGGTGGAGGACTCTGTGTTTAAGGCTCCCTGAGCACTACTAGAGACTGCTCTCAGTTCTGGAACCAAGCTTGAGTGTTCGGAAGGAGTTGGGCACAAGCCCTGTGTCAGGTGGTCTCTGGCCACCAGGCAGGCCTGCTGGCTGGCCAACGTGAAGAGATGTGAGTCCTTAGAACTTCTGAAGAGAATTGTTTTGCTAGGAAATGTGCCTTTTAGTAGCCCGTCAGGGTAGGATGACTCACATCCGGGGTGAGTCCAAGGTGTCTTTGTGGTAGCTCAGGTTGTGCTGGTCTTGTATTAATTAGGCTTAACAGACAACGCACTGCACAATTGGGCAAAAGGGTTTTTTCCCCCCAGTTTTTTAGTTGTGTGCTAGAATGCAGTTCTAGTCTGGGTTATTGTCCACGTCCCGAAGGTCAGGCTGTGCCAATGACAGGGGAGCAGATCCAAGGACTAGCCAGATACGAAGAAGCAGATAGAATCCTCTCCACCTGGTTCCTGGGTTCAGACCCTGCAGCAGGGTGCAATGTAGCTTCTCTCTGTAGTGCCTGTCTTCAGCACCTGGACCTGGCCAGTGTCTCTAGCTCTCCCCAGCACACATACACACACACACGCACATGCACTGAGCGTCCAGGCTGGGCTCCCAGATGGAGCACCAAGCATGTCCCCGAGCTTGTCTAAAAGATCAGCTACAGTGCAGGATGGAAAGCAGAGTTCCAGGCTGTTTGATGGTTGTCCGCATGTCAGTGTGGACAAGAAGACCGTGAGCCACCGCGGGTGAGGGCTGTGTGTTCGTCCCAGGCTCATGTCTTCTGTGTCCGGGGAGGGTGTCCTTGGCTGGGTGGCGGGGTCCAGCCGTTCCTGATGCCGTCTTCATGTAAACCCCTCACAGGCTCCATCCACGCCACGTCAGTAGCTGCCTCGAGAGTGGAGCAGGCGCTGTCCGAAGTGGCCTCGTCTCTGCAGAGCAGCGCTCCCAAGCAGGGCCCGCTACACCCCTGGATGACGCTGGCACAGATCTGGCTCCATGCAGGTACCTTCAGCTCACTGTAGCCCTTCTGTCCCACCCCACCCCGCAACCCGCCCTGGGCTCCAGGCTCCAGGATGCTGGGCTGTTAACCCGTGACCCTTATCAGATGGGAAGCATTGGCATCACACGCCCAAATGTTACCACTCTTCCAGGAATCATGAGTTGCTCTGTGTCCCCTCCACCCCCTCCCCTGACTAGAGCTGGGCTCGGAGCTGACGTGCAGAATGATCTATGGAGTTGGGCTGGGAGGACCCCGGAAACATGCTTTGTGGGGTGCAAACGTGAGTGGCAGCAAGGCCAGGCAGCCGAGCACCCACTTTCTTTGGAGATGACACAGCTGGCATCCCAGACCTGGCCTCTGGGCAGACGTGGAGCCGGGTCCGAGCCCTGCCACTTAGCCGTCACCCGGGCTTGAGTGAATACTGTCATCTCACAGCGTCAGTTGCCTCCTCTGTAAGGTCGGATCTCTACACCCATGTGTCCCAAAGGTTGACGGGCACAGGACCTGACAGTTTAGCCTCGTCAACGCTGAGTGAGGGGACAGAGGTGTTGGTGACACAAGTTTCTCCATCAAAAACAGCCTGTCTGGTATCTCCACTCCTGTCCCTGGTAACCTCCTTGGTAACCCAGAGAGAGGAACTGCTGAACTGGACACAGAAAACAGGTCCTGTCACCCCTTGTCTGTCTCACACACAGTCACCTCACTCAGCCCCGCTTCTGCATAGCTGGGATTCCAACACGGATGCCTTCAGTGGGCAGCCCAGCTGTGGGGACCTACTAGTCAGCTTCTGGCCATGCAGAAAAGGACTTTTGATTTACCGGTGTGCTAGTATTGCTGCATAAAAGTGTAGCATCTTTCCTTCAGATTATCAGAACCAGGCTGGGCCTCCCCAGGCTGGACACTCAGGGTGCAGGGGTGTAAGCCCAAGCTGGCAGGACGACCTTCTTTTCACCCTGCCATCCTTCTGTTTATTCCTTGTGCGCCAAGACTAATTGCATGATGCTCAACCTTGTTGGTACCACTGGTGGACCCCAGTGTGTGAAAACATGGCTATATCCACCTGGCTTTGGCATGTGGCAGGGCCAAGCTCAGCCAGCCTTTTGTGTGTTGGCATCTTTAATTGAGCCATAACGAGGACCGTAAATTAGCAAATTATATTCTTCCAAGCAGCAGTACAAAGGAGAGATGATTCATGGCTGCGCCCATTGTTCTTGCCCGCTGCAGACACTTGCCAGCACCGGGCGCTTGCTGGGTCCCGGATGAGCCAACTTAGGCAGAGAGAGCGGAGTCGCACCCTCCCTGGCTCTCAGGGTCAGCCCAGGCCCTGTGAGCGATTCTGGCATCCATCCCTAGGTTACCTCGGTGAGCAGTGACTGCAGAGGGCAGAAAGGGAAGGAGGAAGGTTTCATGTCCTGCCTGGGTGAGCCAGCCCTGGCTGGACTTGTGGCACTCGTGTGGGGAAAGCAGTCTCTGTGGGACAGTGGTTGCCTTTGGGAGCTGGTAAAGGGCTGGCGCAACATCCAGAAACACTAAAGGAGATCTTTCGTGGCTGAAAGTCGTGTCCTTGACCTTGCAGGCATTGCCTCTCAGAAAAGCATGTGAGCGGAAGGGGGGTCATGGTGTTTCAGGAGGGCATTGTCCAGGCCTCGCTGCCCTCCACTCAGTTCTCCAGGTGCCTGCCCTCTTCCCAGGGTCTGCTGTGACTTGGGGAGGGGAGATTTTAGCACTTTTTACTGGAACATTGAGGAACTTGGCAGCTAAGGTTCACTTTGGAGCTGTCCTTGAATTTGTGTGTGATCATGTCAGGTCGAGTTCTCATTACCACAAACTAGAGAACAGAGCAAAACTATCATCGATGCTTAATGGGTGTGTGTAACTTTACATTCCACGCGTTGGGAGACTTGAACTGCAGAAAGCAGACACCTGGGTGTGTGTGGGGTGTGTGTGTGGGGTGTGTGTGTGTGTGTGTGTGTGTGTGTGTGTGTGTGTGCCTTTGAAAACATACAAAACCCCATTGCTGTCAAGTCGATTCCAGCTCTTAGCAACCCTAAAAGGCAGGGAAGAATGGCCGTAGGGTTTCCAAGGCTGTGGTCACTATGGGTGCAGATGGCCACATCTTTCTCCTTGGAGCAGCTAGTGCATTCGAACTGCCAGCCTTCCAGTGACTGAGCATGTAACCACTGCACCACCACAGCCCCTAAAAGAACATATATGTATATAGATATATATATGTCTATGAACATATATGTGTTTCTGTAAATGTGTACTTAAAGTGTTAAATGTTATTGCTCCACAAGAGAAAGATAAGCAGTCTCGTCCTATAAAAATTTACAACCTCAGAAACTCAATAGAGGGTCTCCATAAGTTGGAATTGACTCAGGAGCAGTGGTTTATATATAAGGATATATCTATGCATAGAAAAGATTGAAACTATCAATGACTTCATGTTCCTTGGATCCACAATCAATACACTTGGTACCATAAGTCAGGAGATCAGGAGACATAGTGTACTGGGAAAGTCTGCAGTTAGAGACCTCTCCAAATTATTGAGAAGCAATGACATTCATTTGATGACAAAGGTGTGTCTGATTCAGGCCATGGTCTTTTCAATCACTTGCTATGCATCTGACAGTGAGTAAGGATGACAGAAGAATTGATGACCTTTGAGTTGTGGTGTTGGAGAAGAGTGCTGAAGATCCCATGGACTGCAAAAAAAAAAAAACCAAACCAACAACAACAACAAAAAAAAAAACCAGACAGATATGTTTTGGAGAAGGTGTAGCCAGACTGCACCTTGGAGACAAAGATGATGAAACTTTGTTTCATATGCTTTGGGCATGTTGCTTGGAGAAGCTGTTCATTGGAGAGGGACATCACGCTTGGAAAGGTGGAGCGGTAGCAAAGGATATGAAGACCTTCAACCAGATGGATTGGCACAGTGACTGCAGCAAGGGTCTCAAGTGTGTCAGAGATGGTGAGGATGGCACGGGATAGGACAAGGTTTAGATCTGTTGTTCATAGCGTCATTATGAGTTGTGTTTGACTGGATGGTACCTAATTACAAAATATATGCATAGAATAAAATAAAATAAAGAATCTTAGATGTAACCAATTACCTCACAGGATAGGTTTGCTTGCTTTGGAGACTTAAGGTCATAGTTTCATGAAACAAGATTGTTCACTGGTTTCCTAAAGTTTATATTCTACATCTTACTCTGATGAGTTGCAGGTAGGGACTTAAAAGTTGTCAAGTAGGCGCCTAAGATACAACTACTGATCCCAACTTGTCTGGAGCAAAAGAGAAGGAACTGGTCTGTGAGGCCAATTGTCTACATGAGCCATGGCCCCATTCACCCTGAGATCAGAAGACATAGATGGTGCCCAGCTGTCACTACCATAGGTTCTGGTCATGACTAGAGTAGGTAAATAGTCATAGAAAGGGAGGGAGCTCTGGTGGCTTAGTGGATAAGGAGCTGTACTGCCAACCCAAAGGCAGGCAGTTCAAACACCCCAGCTACTCTACAGGAGAAAGATGGGCACTCTCCACCCATGTAATTTATAATCTCTGAAAACCTGCTGGAGGGTCAGCTATGAGTCAGTTCTGATTCATCGGTGCATATAGAGACTCAATGATGCATATAATACTATCAAAAGGGAGAGAAAATGTGGCAAAAGAACTTCAGATTCTTGAAAATGCAGACTTATTGAACTCACCAATGACGGAGGATTCTCCAGGGCTGTGTCCTGAGATAGACTTTACATTTTGAGATAAAAATATTCCTTCCAATCACTCTTTAGCTACATAGCAGGTTAGCTCCTAAAAAAAATCTCCCTGAGACCACATGGTCAACCAGTACTCAAAAGCATGGATGAGAAGACTGGGGGGATATGAGACTAGAAGTAATAATTCTAGAGTGACTAGGACAAAAGTAATGAGAATACTGGTGTGAAGGATGTAGTCAATCTCAATGAACAGTGTGAGTAGAAATGATTGCATTCATTTCCAAAAAAGGTACAGTAAAATGCTGTGTTTTTAAGACAAAGAAAGAAGATGCCATACTTTGCTTATAGGCCCAGTACAGTATGGACATAGTCCAAAATAAGTACATGAGCAAATATGCAATTTGAATGAATATATTAGAATATTTTTAGAATGCATGCCATATTCATTCTCAAAGCAATGCCTTTGAGTCAAGATTTAGAAGAGTGCCATGAATTCCCTTAGATTTTAAAGGGCTAATTTAAGAAAGAAAAGAAGCCACTTCCACTGAATGTCCAAGTTTCTGCTGTATGTGGTTGTACTTCTGCTCCCCCAGTGAACTCATGGGAACTGGTTAACATCTACTCTCCAGTAGCCATTATAATTTCTTACATATTCAAGATAGGCTTTATGATTTCTGCCAACTTCTATATATTTTGCAAGCTTTATTGTTGTTATATGCCATTAAGTTGAGTCTCTATGAACAATAGCTCTAAACTTTGTTCTATCCTGAGCCAACCTCACCCGTATCTGACACAATCTGCCTTCATGGCCACGGTGACTGTGTCAATCCATCTCATCTAGGGTCTTCCTCTTTTGTGCTTTTGACTCTCCACCCTTCCGAGCATGATGTCCATCTCTAAGAACCGGTCCCTCCTGGTAACATCTTCAAGGTCTGTGAGACAGAACTTCAAAATCTTTGCCTCCAAGGAGCATCCTGGTTTCACCCTCTCCAGGACAGACCTGTTTCTTCTCTCAGCAGTCCATGGTATGTATGTTCAGTATTCTTCTCCAGCACCACAACTCAAAGGCATCAATTCTTCTTCTGTCATCCTTAGTCATCGTCCAGCTCTCAGATGCATAGCAAGCAATTGAGAAGACCATGTCCTGGATCAGATGGAACTCAGTCTCTAGACTAACTTTGTTGCTTTTTAGTACTCTGGAGAGGTCCTTAACAGCTAATTTTCCCAATGCAACACATCTTTTGATTTTCTGACTACAGTACCAAGGGTATTGATCATA